CAAAGGGGCTACAAATGTCCAAAGGTTGCCCATCCCTGGGTCTGTTTGCTCTCCTAATTGTTATCATCGCGACTTAAAATAGCACGTTTAGGATACTTTTAACAAAGCATGTTCACCTAGCAAAGGCTTATACCTTGACTGTCATCATCCCACATGATTCCTAGAAAACATATTCAGATTCCCACCGCTCCATTTTTGCCTAGTGAACTTAATGCAGCCTCACTCATAACAAGGACATCCATGACAATGACTTACACCACACAGTTATGAGCACTCTGATACCCTTTTGAGAGTCCTGGTTGCATCCTACAACAGAAAATTCCAAGTACCTTACCAAGCTATACATCCCAGGATTCTGTAGGATGAAGCTGTGGCAGTTAAAATGTACTTGAACTTGTATAACTGTGTAGTGCTGACACACTCCTATATATTACCACATACAACATAATCAGAGTAGGCAGAAGATTCTTTATACCCATATACCCTCAAGAGAAAGTATGAAAAGACCATCTTGTAGACTAAATACAAGCACCTGCTGAAGAGTAAGAACAGTTACTACATTCTTGACAACTTGGATTTAATGGGTAACAACAGTTTTCATGAAAACTATAAGCAAAATAGGAACTGGCACTAGGTGCAGAGATTATTTGGATACTACTTTCTTAATGTTTAAAGCCAAGGGCATGCATTGAAATAAAGGATTAATATAGCTCAGTCGCATAGAGCAGGACATTTTGATCCTCAAGGTATTTTGAACTCCAATCCCACAACTCCTTTCCAGTGGCCCTATTGGTGCCAATTTCTGAGAGATGAAATCCATAACATTTGGAGACCCAAAGGTTCCTTACCCGACTCTATGGGCTAACACAGTGGGCGAACATGCCTGTTTTCTAGATACTAGGTATTTCAGGACTGAGACTAACCTGTAGTCATTTGCCTACTTATTATCCACCTCTAATAGAGTAGTAGTCATAAACAGAGTAGCAGTCATAACAAAAATAATTGAAGTCTTACAATAAATCTGGAATTTTCTCAACATGAAACAGCAGAATTTCAGCTCCTAAGACAAGTAACTAAGTGGTCGTTGTTTCTTCTCTTTTTTTTTTCTGTGGTTTTACAAATGAGAAAACACTGCTCCTATGCAGCCCCAAAGGCTGTCCGAAACACCTTGTCATTGCTCAGTACCTTCCTCATTAAGGCATTGCAGCTACATTCATTTGCCTTTCAGCTCCCCCAAGTGCTGCTGCTGGGTAAAACACTTAGCCATCTTGCACAAAAGTTTCCTATCAGGACTCATTAACACTGGGTATCAGCATTTGGGATCTAACTTTACTATGGATTACAACAGCTCTAAAAGCTGAGTGAAATAGAATATGTTCTCCTTAAGGTCATGTAATCGGAATTGATTTGAAGGCACAGAAAAACAATCATACATAGGATTATATCTTTAAAAGGCATATATGAGTGTTAAATGGGAAGAACTTGTTAACTCTGGAACTTAGTTAATTCTGCAAGTGACTCTGAATCCAAGATGCTGGAATTGAAGGAGAAAGAGCCCAATAGGGGTGATGCTGGTATCATAAAGACATGATACTTCATTTGAGGAGCTATTTAACTCAGAGCAAATATTTTCTTTGGCATGGATAATACAAAAGTATTTACAAACCAATTAAATGAACAATTATATCAAAAACATTAATTTAAAACTCCTTTGTAAGATCATTAAAACTTGATATTAATAACAATAACAAATGCAAATACAGCACACCCCAGTTGAAAGACCTTTTACAACCAACAGTAAACATCCAGAAAGGTCTTCAAGTGCCAGAAGAAAGAGAGCAGAGAGGGGGCCAACCTAGTTTCCCATAGGAAGGAATTCCACCATATGGGAACAGCCACCAAGAAAGTTCTCCCCCATGTCCTCACCAAATGGCTGCAGCATTTGAGATTATTCCATCTGTTTGGGTTTTTTAAATGTGCAGTTCACAATGCTTTTTCAGTCTCAGGCTCAACTGATTCCTCCACAGGAATCCAACCTGTTACATGAACTGCGAGAAGTCTTCTTACCAGTCTTGAACTGCCCTACTAAATCAAGCCTTGGAATACTCTCCAAAATGCCATCTCTCATTAGTACACTTACATGGTTCCAAAACCTCAACATCTTCTAGACCAATGGTTCTCAACTTTTGATCATCCATCTCAAGGAGGTACAACCTTTGGTCATGTTGGCTGAGGCTTCTGGGAGATGAAGTCCAAAACATCTGGACTAAAGGTAGAGACGCCCCCCATCTGGAACTTAACATTTTTGTTAATGAGCTTTCACATGTTACTTTTCTGCAGAGGATATATATATCAAATCTGATCTACATATATATAGATAGACAGACAGACAGACAGACAGACAGATAGATAGATATATGAAAAAGGAATGTATGGATTAGGCTAAACTACAAATCAGTGGCAGAGCACATGTCAGACTGTAAATCAGTGACAGGACACATAATTTGTGTGTAGAAGGTCCCAGGTTAATCAGTAGCATTTCTAACTAGAAGGCTCAGATATTTTTCTGATATTCTAAAGAACCAGATGCTACCAGTCAGAACAGACAACATGTAAAGTAGTGTCCTATCCTATAATAACAGCAATTTCATGAGACTCTTTATGCAGTCACAGTGGCATGATGCACATGAGTGAGCCATCAACATGGTCAGGAAAATCCAAGAATTTTCAGAAGTACAAAAGGTTTTAAATGAAAAGCAAGAGATCCATAACATCCCAACGAAGAATGAATATACTCTGTGGCTAGAGAACAAAGAATGACTTTGTAGAAGCCAAAAATATGGAAGAAAGGGAATTGACATGAAGTGTCCTAGAAAGGTCATGGCTAGCTGACACCCTATACCAGTGATGGGCAACCTTTTGAGCTTGGTATGTCAAACTT